AAAAAATTAACCCCATCATACAAGAGTGGCATTAATCTCTCTCAGTGACTTAATCACATCTTAAAGATCCCACCTTCCAACAATGCTACACAGGAGACCACATTTTTTACACATGAATTGTGGGAGACATATTCTAACAATAGCACCATTCTTATCAGTTATAGGAAAGTTAATTAAAACCACAATGGGATACCACCATATACCCAGCAGAACAGCTAAAACAAAAATTTCTGCTAATTATTACCAAGTGTTTATAAAGATGTAGAGCTACTAGAACTCATATACTATGCCAGTAGGAATACAGATTGGTATAACTCTTCGGGAAAGTAGCAGTATCTATCTACCAACAAGCTTTTAAGCCACATAAGCACAAGTGTACAGCAAGAGAAATTTTCACACACATATGCCTAAAAGACATGTATAAGACATGTATAAGTATGTAAGGTCCAAAACCTGGTCATGATGAAATACATTGAAAATTAAACTACTGCTACACATAGGAATCTCACATACATAATATTAAGACAGAGACCACACATAAACAGGTTAAACTCTATTGTTACATTTGTAAAACTGAAAAGAAGGCTGAATAATCTATAGTATTAGAATTCAAGAAAGGGCTTGCCTTGTGAAGGATTGGAATTGTGACTTGGAAAAAAAAAGAGTCCTTTGGCTGGGTGTGGTGGCTCACACCTGTAATTCCAGCAATTTGGGAGGCTGAGGAAGGCAGATCACCTGAGGTCAGAAGTTCAAGAGCAGTCTGACCAACATGAAGAAACCCTGTCTCTACTAAAACTATAAAATTAGCCAGGCATGGTGGTGCCTGCCTGTAATCCCAGCTACTCGGGAGGCTGAGGCATGAGAATCGCTTGAACCCAGGAGGCAGAGGTTGTGGTGAGCTGAGATCCAGCCATTGTACTCCAGCCTAGGCAACAAGAGTGAAATTCCATCTCAAAACAGGAAAAAAACAAAACAAAACAAAAGGGCCCTTTCAATGTTGCTGATTATGTCTTATTTCCTAATTTTAGTGGTACCACACAGGTCTGTAGACATTCTGATAATTCATTTGGCTGCTCATTTGCGATTTGTGCACTGTTCTTATGTATGTTTTAATACAAGTACTTACTTAACCTATGATACATGGTTATTTTTTTATACCAGAAAACAGAAGAGACTAAAGTAGAAAACATAAAAATTACTACTTATTCCACTAGTGCATTGACTTCAAGTCTTTATGTTTTTTATTAGGCAGGTTTGCACATGAATAATTACTAGCATTGGTAGTTTTTCTAAGTTAACACAGATTATCAAAACATGTTGAAGAAATCAGGAAAATCTTGTTAGACCGATAATCATAGAAGCATGATAAATTCAAAAAGAAACTATCAGGCCCAAGATAATCTTTGTCTAAGTTTACTATTAGGTTGTCCTAACTTTTAAAGAATAAGTAATTTCCATGTAATACAAAAACTCTTAGACCACTGCAAATAATTTATAAAAAAAAAAAAAAACCTTTTCTATTTATTTTTGCAACAGGAATTTTTTTCCCTCACAATTGTTGAATTAGTGCTTCTTTTAAATTTATTTTGGTTTCCTGTTTTCATAAATAATCACCTACACATTTGTTTCTGTTTTCCATACTGGTCATGTGTTTTCTCTCATTGTTTTCATAGTTTACCTTTGCCCTCTGAAGTTCTGAAGAAACTGAGTGCTCCTTCAGTTTCGTTTTCACAAATGTGATTGCTATTTGTGGCCTCCAAAGACAGATATCATTCTTCTGTAACACTTTTGTTTCCTTACAATGGTTTGTACTTCAATTAATCCAATCTCTGTGTTTTTTATTTCTGAGTCATTCAATGCATATACAGGGATGGAAAACAATTCTCTAAAACATTTTTTCTGGTCTCTATATTAACTCTTGCTTTACATATGCTTTTCCTCGGAGACTTTAATTTTCCATGTCAGGTAATTACTACTGACAACCAGTTTTGCTTTGATGATCTTGTTATTTATTTTTTCTTTACTGATCTGAGATTTTGATAAAAATCGATTGAAGCGTAGGGTTTTCTAACAGACAGGTGACAAGATTAACCATTAGCCCTTGGTTCTACTGATAACTTGTTTTATTATCAGTAAGCTTCTAACATTTGCAGTTGAAGAGTAGATTGTTATGAAGAAGTTCAGGCCCAAATTCCAATGAGTAGAAAACATTCACTTAATGTAATTCTTATAGAATGTTGGTAGACAGATCATCATCTTTCCCCATGTCTCACCTTGATCTGATAAAATCTCTAGAGTCTCTCTGTCTCTCTCTCTCTCAAACACACACACACGTGGGCAGGCACACATTACTACTGTCTCTATTCGCAGGATTGTAATACCTACAATGCTTTTGGGACTTTATCTCTCTTTCCTGGCACATAATGCATTCCTTTCTTCCCTTTTTAGTGGGAGCAGAAGTAATCCCTAAATAAACACAAATGTAGAGCCATTGATTGAAGAAAGGTGCCCATGTTTGACTGCTTAACTTTCGGAGCAATACAAATCTTGGATCTTTGAGTCAGGGGGAAGCAGCACAGAGTTTCTCTATATTACTGAAGGCCATAGGTGTTTTCTTTACTTCAAATTACAAATTTCAATTTAGCAATGTAGAGTCTTCCCAGAAACTAATAATAGGTTGCCCGAATGTCTCAGCTTTGAATATTACTATAAAATGCCATCTTTCTCTGTGCCCTTATAGCCATTTTAAGCTACATCAAGCACTGTGAAGCTGGTAGAACTAAAAAAAAAAAAAAAAAAAAAAAACCACTCATTTCTGACATCTTAAACTATGATAAAAAACATTCCATCAGCATCATTGTGAGAAAAATTCAATCTTCCTTTAATGTTTACTCACAACCAAAAGCTATTCCTGAACATCTGTGTAATATTATTTTGACACAGATGGCAAAATAGTTATTAATAGATTAGCACATGTAAATATTTGGACCCATTTCAGTAGAACTGAGAAAGCCACAAAGTCATCTTACAAAGTAAATTTTCATTGCTGACTCAATGTGCATTTTACTTTGCACCCAAACTGCTGCAATTTTCTTAGGTAGTTTTTGAATGAACAAGTAACATTTGTTTTCAAGCCCCTTCAATGTAGTGTGGAAATGAGTTTGTTTTTATTTCATAGCAGGCCAGGACCCACCTTTATCTCTTAGAATTGTACACAGGTCTGTATACTGCTTTGAACTGACAAGAACTAGTCTTTTAAATACAACTTAACTTACCTTTCCAAAGAATAAACAAAATGAAGAAAGAACAGACATAAAAAATCTTGAGAAAGTTTTTCTAAAACATAACACATATTGGAGTTTTACAAGTCTTGATGGTTTATAAATCAATGTAGAATAAGTCATTCCTACAGGCTTCCAAGTATTTTTCCTGTTATTCTTAATGCCAATTGTTTTATAGAACTCTTTTATAATTTTTGTCATTTTTCACTTTTCTTGCACCAGTTTCATTTGAACAATTTGGAAGTTGATCTTGCTCCTTGGACCATAAAACAGGTTTGTTATTGTGTGTTCAGGCAGTCTAGGGTACTATGAGAAGACCTGGACTAGGAGATGGAAATCCTAGATTGAGTGCTACACTTGTATCACATAAGTTTTACCAGTGCTGTATGGTCAGCTGTCACCTGTATGGCTAAAGTGGTGTCAGTCTGTAAACAGTAACTGGTCTGCACCATAAGGGTTATGAATATTGGGAGAAAGTACAAAAAATGTTATAGAAATGAGGTAATTTTGTGTTTATAGAATGATGACAAGAATAAAAATATAAATCTGTATATTTGCGGTCTTCTTTTTACATTTCATTTTTTTCTAGCAATTAATGTTTAGTATTTTACAGAAACATTCAATGTGCAATGGATTAAAAATAAACTATCCCTTACCCACAGAGAGTCTAAGAGGCACTGAGCTCTTAAGACATCCAGAGAGCCAGTTAATCTCTCAGAATCTGAATTTCTTTATCTGTAAAAATATGAATAATGATCCCCACCCTGCATTTTTATAGAGTATGTGAAAACAAACACAATTATTTATTTATAAGCTATTTATAAATATAAGGCCTTATATTTATAAGGCTATTTATTTATATAAAGCCTTATATATATAATGAATATTTATATATATAAATATTCATAAGCTATTTATTTACATATATAATAAATATTTATATTTATTATATAAGGCCTTATATAAATAAATATGAATATTTATTTATATAAGGCCTTATATAAATAAATATATAGTCATCACATACTAAGTGATAATTATTTGTGAATTAGCATAGCATCTCAGCTAAAAGAAGCCAGGCATATGTTAGATACTAAAGGTTTTTTGACTTTATGAATAAATACAAAAAATAGAAATTTTGGCAATGGATACAATTGCACACAAAATAACTGTCTCAGGGAGCAGCATATGATTTAAAGGCAAGTCACATCATCTGTTAGTTGTAACTTTCATCTATAAAATAAGGGTCATTATCACTACTAATTTCAGGTTGAAGTGAGGATTAAATAATACAGAAAAGTATTTAGTAGTTGGTACTTGAAAAGTATTCAGTTAGTATTAGTCTTTTATCTCTAAGCTGCTTCTCTATGCTAAGAAAGCTACTGAATTCTTTATATGCAATGTCTTAGTTAATTCTTATAAAAATTTAATAAAATACCTATAATAATCTCCATTTCAAAATAAGGAAACTAAGACTCAAACAATGCCAGCAGTTTTTACAGTCCTACACAGCTACTTTAAATCCATGTCTGTCAATAAAAATGTTTGGCAAGTTTCCCACAGAATACCACCACCCTAAAGTCTTCCAAGTCATGAGAATAAATTTCATAAGCTACATTTGAGAAGCTTTCTCATTTTTATTTATAAACATTTTCCCATAAGATGATTCCCATAAGAATCAGCAGATTTCATGAAACATAGAAAAAGAGACCCACTTACCAGCTTGAATTGTTGGGCTCTTCATGCTGCTGGTGGCCACTTTTGCTGCTCTGCTCTGAGCTTCTTCTCATAACCCTATTTCCAGGCTGCCAAAAAAAATAGGAAATGAAAAATGACACTCACTTGCTTCAAGAAGGATTTTAATATATTAATGGCCATTACGGTAATAAATTACATTTTTATAGTATTTTTTTAAAGACTTGAAAGAAATGCAAGAGATAAATTCACTTCATGTGTTTAAATTTTGAAGGTAAGTATATTGTTGTGTTTATCTTGTAATTCACAGAACATAACCATCTATCAAAACTGATCATTAAATAATTTTTCTTTTTTCATTAAATAGAAGAACAAATGAAACTCGTGTTTAAAGCCATCCATATATTTGTAGGTCTATGTACTTAAACTTCATAAGGCAACTGGTATTTTGTTATAATGCAATAAGGAGAAAACAGACCTGAAGGAGAAAAAGACTTACTGTGTCAGTATACCTGCCATTTCAAAGGTTAAAATTTGACAATGTGGTCAGCAAGCAAGTCAAAGATTATTCCTTGTGGTTTCAGTATTTAATATATTGGACAAGTCAAAAATCATAATGATTAATATAAAGGAAAATTTAAATGCCAGCAATTAACAACTGGAATCTGCATTTGGAATTGTGCAGTTGTAAAAGGGAATGTGATGTTCTTTTTAGAACTGGAATTTGAAGTTTCCATTTTCTTGATCAGTCATTGCCGTCTTTTTTTTTTTTTTTGTGACAGAGTCTCGCTCTGTTGCCAGGCGCCAGGCTTGAGTGCAGTGGTTGGATCTCGGCTCACTGCAATCTCCGCCTCCCAGGTTCAAGCAATTCTCCTACCTCAGCCTCCTAAGTAGCTGGGACTACAGACGTGCACCACCACACCCAGCTAATTTTTATATTTTAGTAGAGACAGGGTTTTCACTCTGTTGGCCAGGATGGTCTCGAGTCATTTCCTTCTTACTTTACTCCACAACAGCTCCTTTCTGTGATCCACAGAGAGAAAGATAAGTTGGCAAAAAACAGTAGAAACTAATCTGGGATAATTTTCATTCACTCAAAAGTAGTATAATGAGGAAAAAATGCTTTCTGAAAATAATTAGAATGTCAATCACTTTCCTTTAAACCTAATGTTTACATATCAGATTTCCTATGTGACACTGTCACTTGTGTGATCAATAATAATGGCAATAATTATGTATTGTTTATACTGTATCAGGAACTGTTCTTAATATTTTGGGGTATGATCCAATTCAATATTTACAACAACCCTGGATGGCAGATATTATTATCATCCCTATTTTTAAAGATGAGAAAAATGAGGCACAGTTTAAGTGAATTATTCAAGATTCACAGCTAGTAAAAAGAGTAGGATTTGAACTTTTTCAGAACCCATTCTCTTAATCTTCAAGGTATTCTACTGCCTTTCAAACTTGACCCAAATTGGAACTCTTCAATTTTCCTATATCCCTTCTTAATTCCTTCCCTATTTTCTAGGAAACTGAAAATTTACCTTGTATTCAAGCCAGAAATGTAGGAATCTCCTTGATACCTTCCTTTTTCATGTAATTTTACAGACTAATTATAGCTAAAATCCATACATTTCACTATAATACTCCAATATAAGCCACCACGATCTATCCCTTGGAATATAGCAAGAGCTTTTCACCTATTCTCACTGACACCACGCTTGACACCTTCTACAATACATTGTTTGCAGAATTTATAGCACAAATAATCATTGTATTTCTTTGGTTAAAAGTCTTCAATGGCTCTTTATTGCACATGGAATAAATACAGTCATCTCATCGTGGCCTACTTCTGACATGAGCTGGCTGCCCCTGATCTCTCCAACATTACCATATATAGTTCTTCTCCATTTTTCTGCCAACTCATTCTCTAATAAGCCATGGTCTTTGGCAACTACGGACTTTGGATTTCAACCCTGGAATGCTCTGAGACTGGATCCTTTTCATCCTACAGGTCTCAGTTCAAAAGTCACTTTCTCAGAGAAGTTTTCCCTGACACCCAAATTGTTGTTCCTCCATCATAACCCACAGCCATGTTTTATTTGTTTAATTGTCTATTAACTCTCCTCCTCACTGGAAAAACCAGTAACTGACAAATCACCCTGAAGTAAGCTTGTACAATGAGGCACCAGAATGATTATTCAAGGATATATGTATTGGTTTTATTTACACAAAACAACAACATATAAAAACTCTGTGAGTTCTACTAGCAGCATTGGTTTTTTTTCCTATCTGGATCATTCTGCTAAAATATATGCAGCCCTCTAAGCTCTGTTCTGACTTTTTTTCTCAATTTGATTTAAAGCATTGCTTCTCAAGATTAAAACAAATATGAGTTACATAGAGATTTATATGCACATTCATCAAACTGCAGATTTTTCATTCAGTGAGTCTAGGGTAGGGCTGCAGAATCCATATTCATCACATAGGTTACTCTGATGGTGTTGATCTACTCACCACACTTTGAGTAACAAGAAGTCAGAAGATAGGTCACAGTTTTAGAAGCTTTCAAAAGATTCTCAAAGGGTTCCTATTGTATGTTTGTGTGTGTTTCCCTTATGCAAAAATGTTGTTATAACAGTATGTTTTTTTAAATGTACATTTTCCTCTTCAGACAAATGCCATTCCTGTGAGATCAACAATATATCACTAAGTAGTTAACAAATAATGCATACTTCTGCTCTTATATACTTTGTAATTTGTCAATAATTTCGAATAAAGATTGCCCGTGCTTTGAAAATAAGTGTGTATCTTAATGTCACATAATTCAGACTCCCTTAAATTTAACAATATATAAAATAAATAAAATACTGTATTTTAGTAACTGGCCAATATTTGAGATAAAGTCTGCATTTTTTATACTTTTTTTCTATATTTCTGATTCCTTTTACATTATACATTCTAGTTATCATCTATGAAGTCTTACATACACTGTACTAAATTTGTGGTTTATATACTTGTATGTACTTATTTAATTGATAAACTGATGAAATTAAAGTTAATAGTATTTATGATTTGGGGCTCTTACTTATGGGAAGGCACTCTATTGGTGCTTTGTATATATTAATTATCATTACAAAAATAAACTGTTAATACACAGAGACAGAGTTTTGGGATGGAAGAATTAGTTCAAGAATATATGTTTTAAAAGTGTCAAAAATGATGTTAAATTCAGGTATGCTCAGCCTTGTTTTTATAATTAAGGGAAATTTAATATTTTTTTAAAGAATCAAATCTCTGCTAGAAGGTATTTAAGGTAACCATGTATATTACAAAAGAGAACACAGGAACTAGCTCTGTATTATATACTTTATTAAAGAAAAACACTTATGTCGAAATAAGAAATGTTTGAAAAACATAGGTAATGTCATTATAAATTTTACAGAATACTAATTCTAGTCCTTATTTTCAAAATTTAGCAAAAGTTCATTTTACTTCTAAATATTACTGCCAAAGATCTTTCTGAAAGCAGAGGTTTTAATCACTGTTGGAAGAATGAAATAAAATAACTAAATGTTTAATAATGGCAGACCCATGTAATACATAAATGCTTATTTCTGACATATTTTTCATTTAAGAATGATAGACTCAGCTGACGAATATGCTTATTTCTTACATGTCTTTTCAGCCAAGTTTCCAAACAACAATATATTTCAGGAACATTTCTCTAGTTCCTTTAAAGAAAAGTCATTGGTCCTATGTATAATGAGTATTTCTCCCATATGATTACCATACTGAAGACTGTCTTTTTTTTGAGACAGAGTCTCATTCCGTCAACAGGCGCCAGGCTAGAGTGCAGTGGTGTGACCTCTGCTCACTGCAACCTCTGCCTCCCGGGTAGCTGGGACTACAGGAGCATGCCACCACGCCCAGCTAATTTTTTTTGTATTTTTAGTAGAGATGGGGTTTTACCATGTTGGCCAGGATGGTCTCAATCTCTTGACCTCGTGATCTGCCCGCCTCGGATTCCCAAAGTGCTGGGATTACAGGCGTGAGCCACCATGCCCAGCCTGAAGAATGTCTTAACTACTGGAACCATGTGTGTGTGTGTGTGTGTGTGTGTGTGTGTGTGTGTATATATATGTGTGTGTACACACACACACACACACATACACACTCACATACATTTTGAGAAAAACTTAAATAGGGTTACTTTCTAAACAAAATTTCAACCATCATAATAAATTGTTACTGTTTGTTTTGATAGATTATGTAATGTTATGATTTCTATGAGGTTCATTAACATTCACAAAGAGTTGCTATTATAATCACTGTAGGTCAATAATGGTTTCACAGTGATTTATCTATTGAAAGAAGAACATTTCACAACACAGGAAAAACAAAGTACTTGCCCAGTGGGTTAGTATGGCTCCTTTCTGAGACAGGTTTAGTTAGATTGGCCAGTTTTATTTTCTTCATTACTTCTAAGACCTGCCTTATGGTTTTCTTTGCCTACATGTTCAAATGCTATCTTCAATCATTTCTTTGAAAGGAAACACTTAAGTGGCTTTATAATATAAAGCATCTTAACTCTGATTATGTTTGAAAGCCAGTTATTGAGAGAAATTTATTCTTTTTCAAGAGCAGAGGGGAACAGGCTCAAGGAATCCATGGCAGAAGACACAAACATGGGAGTAAAATGACAATAGTTTAGGTAAGCTTCTGATAGGAATAAAGAGAAAAATAAACTGTAGATTGAAGTGTGTATTGGAAGGGGAAAGAAGGCTAAAAATTAAGAAGGACACTATTGCCAGGAGGAGGAATTCAGTAACTTTAATATCCTTAGGTTAATGTCTTACTGGAATAACGTACCACCTCACCTGAGAACCGGCTTCTCAGATTTCAGCCTCTTGCTTATTCAGTCTACTCCTAAAATGCTTCCATGCTTTCTGTCCAATTTTCTTACTTTATTTTCATTTTCATTTTTGATTTTTAGTATGCCAATTCTCCTTTTAGGCCTTGATGCCCTTCTATAGCTTATAACTTTATAGAGGGTTAATTGACCTTCCTGAAGAAACAAAAGACATTGCAACTTCTCTATTTC